CCCCAAAACCCCAAAACCCCAAAACCCCAAAACCCCAAAGGGTTAATTAAAAGCCTATAAAAATTGTATATAGTTAATATTTAACAAAGCTAATTTACTGAATGATTTTCAATTTCTTAATTTCATTATCAGCTTAACTTTCAGAATGCTCATTGTTTTCTTGTAAATGAGTCATAGAAAGCTGTTACTTTATTCCAAACTACTCCTTTTTTAGGCATGCCATTTTGCACTTAGCTATTTACTGATTATGGTTATATTCCTATTTCCGAATATTTTTCTTGTTCCTTTAATGGATTTCCATTGTCAGAGTCAGAATTTGCCTAAGCCTAATCTTTTACTGCATTTGGATTTAGTTATTGGAATGCTCGATTCAATTTGGAAAAGACTTTCTATTTCAATCCCTCAGGAATTTCACTCAATATATTCTTAATTATTAAATCGATTTCATTGAAGAAATCGCAAGGCTCTAGTTTTGCTGCTTGTTCGTTACCTTTTTGCTTTTTTGCCTAATAATTGTTAACTAAAAAAATAATACTTTAGATTTTTCCTCATAAGTCTTTGCTTTGATATACTCTTTACTAATCTACACATACTCTTCTACTGATGATATGATTTTCTATATAACATTTTTCAAATCCTCACTCATTGAAAATCTCGTTATTTTAGCATCAAGAGTGGCTAAATCCACATAGTCTTAATCACTTTTTTTGTTTTAACTCTTGAGGTCGAACTCAAGTTTTGACTTTCCAATACTAACATGTTTATCCAATTCAATTTTCTTTTTCTTTTTTTTCTCTAATAAAAACGTTCTTTGGAGCATGAATAGCATCTCCTGCTAGGACTTTTAGAGAATTTATGAAAGCTTCATTGAAACAACTTCTGATGTTTTGTCAGACCAATTAGGATCCTTCTTTTCGACTCTCTCTGCTAGTTATTAAATTTCCTTTTTAAAAGAGTTTAATGTTTCTCCATTAAGAACTCTAGTCCTTAGAGTATTTATGATGTCATCTATTGTCATATCATCTACTTTAAAATTTTCAAATTCTTCTCTAGTTCTCTTTTTGTTATTTTTAGAGGGTTTTTCAGCACTATTTTGATTATGCTAGATTATTTGTAATGGAACATTTGAATTCTGTTTGATCTTATTTTGATTGTTTGGGTTTAAGTTGAGAGTGCTCTAAACCAAATTATTTAGCTAGCTTTCCTTTTATTTCTACTGTTCTTTCTTTTATTTAAGCTTGTCCTCTTCTTTTCTAACAAGATCATCCACATGGTCAGGTGGCAACACTCTAAAGACCTTAAGTAATTTATTATATCTCTCCTAGTATTTGAGATAGTCTAAATCTTCATCGTCTGCATCTCCATCAACTTAAAAATCATTTTCTTTATTCTCATTCGAGGCTTTAACTTCTTCAAAGGATTCACTTTCTTACCCCTGAATCTAGCTGAGAACCCCAGATTAGCCATCTCCAATCATCTCTGCCACCATCTCATCTTGATTTATCTCAAGCTCTTCATCATCAATGAAATCATCATCAAGATCATAGTAGTTGTCATCGTACTTTGGTCCTTTTTCAATAATTGAGTCTTCAGCCAATGGCTCATCTTAACCTTGAGCTAAAACTACAGGAATCTTCTTTTTAAGCTTTTTCTTTTTGTTTTAGAAATTTTACTGATGTCTAGCATACTCTTATACTGGGGCAAGACAATTGTTGTATTCTATTCTTGCTATCATTGATTTAAGCAGCACTTCGAATTTTGATTTTCCTGAATTTGGGAAGGGAGAAGTTTCTTCCATCATTGATTACTCATCATTATCAAGATTAATTTCATTTTCTTTGGCTACTTCCTCCTTTTTATCCTATTAGGAAGATAAATCTTTTTGCATTTTCTTTCTTGCTAAGGCTTCTTCATAAAGTGCTCTCTCAGGCTATAATAATTAAAGTTAAAAATTTGAAATTATAAATTACATCCATCAGGTTCATTTCGTCAAGATACTCTTTGTATTCATAGTGAAATGAGACTATAGTTGCTTGATCAGGCTCTAATTCAATTTCAATTCTTGCCATTCTGTCAAGGACCTTTTTCTTATTTTAAGCAGAGATTACAGCTTCAATAATGTTTGCATTACTCCCATTATTTAATTCGTTCTGACCTTCTTAACCATTAAAAGATGAATGGTTGATTCCATTAGGCTAGTAAAAGTTTTGAATTTACGAGACATCTGAAACTGGATTGAACATATTATCATCCCTCTACATATAGAGAGCCTACGCTTGATGAGTAATATTGAGATTTTCGGTGGGTTAAGGTAGAAGTTTTGCATTTTCAGAACAATTCATGATGATATCTTTAATTTTGTTATGGCTGAAATCTGTGCTAGTATTGATCTCCTCGACCTCATTTGAACTTCTGACACTTATCACGTTTGAGTCCTTAGCTTCTTAAACTGGGTCTTCAAACTGAACCTTCTTTTTAAGGGCTGTTTTATCGCCAACTTTTTCTGGTGTCTTACTCCTGCCTACAAATGATGGATTAGGTGGAGGAAGTAAACTTACTCTTAGATTTTTTAACCGATGAAGATCCCTTATTACTAGATAACTATTATGGTTCTACACATAAAGTGAGTTTAGAGGAAATTTGATTATTTGAGAAGAAAATACCTTTCTCTTTTCTGAGGTTAGGGGTTAGGTCTTTTCTTTCTGGTTGGTTTGTGGGTTTTTTGCCTCTGCCAGCAGTATTCGCAGAGTTAGACTCTTTATCTTAGTCACTAATTTAATTTTTTTGCGGGCCTTTGTATTATTTTAGCATTAATATTAATTATACTGAGAGAAATAATCTCCCTGATTAATGACCTGACCCTTAATTAATTGAGAGCTATTGTTTGTAATCAAAGTAGACTTTGGTTTTAATAATTAATTGGTATACTTTAATATATTTAAGCTTAATTATTTGAATTTAAATAGCAATTAAATCTGCATTAATCTAGAATTCCATCTTCAATCAAACAAATTAAATACTGTCTAGATTTGTTCAGACTCAATGATAGTGTTTTAATCAAATCAAACAGATTGATTTTACTCATAATCTAAGTCTATAGATATCGTAGATCTTCATCAGTACAGGAGCATCGACTATTTTGACATTACTGAGCTAAGTAATCAGTTTCAATACTTGATCTTTTTTTTCTTTGTCAGTAAAACTGAGCTCCTCATCTTTAAGCTGTCTTACTTATTGAATATAATAGTCAAGTACTACAGATGCCCGTAATCTCAATTCATCTTCAAATTTCAGGGCTGAGTAAGCGGCTGCCTCTTCTTAATCATATGGCTATTGAAGTAATTAACGAAATATATATAGTTTAATACATCATAGTAGACGAAAGATTTGCGATAAGAGAAGTCTTGCATCTCTCCACTATCGAACTAGTCGGTTAAATCTAATAGATCCTGGAGGATCTTAGCTGTCTCACCCTTATTCATCTAATTTTAAGAATCTTCTGAGTCTCCAATTTAGACACCAAACAAGTTTAGATTCTGCATGTTCATTGTATTTAGTTAAGACTCATAGTTAGTTTCTATAGTTTTACTTATTAAGGGGGAGAGTAAACTTACAAGAGACAAATTTTTTATCTTCATAGTCATCGTCCTAAGATTATAATCTGCCTCTAACAACATCTGCTTTGTTAGTTAGCTTAGCTTTATATCTCTCAAGATCTTAATCAGCTAGATTATAGTTCATCTCAATAACTTCCTTTTCCTTATCATCCTTGAATAATTATTTTTGTGACTCATCTTGGAAACTGGAAATAGTCTTGCTGATGTTATGTCTTTGATTAGGATTATTTATTAAGGGATCAGACTTTGACTGAATTTACTCTTCATCAGATGATAAAATTCCTTCTTCAACTTCACCCTTTTTCCCTTAAGGAGTTGATTCTTCATCTTACATTAGATCTCTTTTTGCAGCTAAATTATCATCATCATCGAATGCAGTAGTTCTTTTAAAGTTCTTTTCAGTTGCCTCAGTAGTGTCTGTTGTCACACCCTCATTAACTGTTTCATATGGATCTTCCTCTCCATTAGCAATAACACTCTTCTTTGACCTTTTGCCCTCTGTGTCTCTTCCAAAGAGTATATCCATTCTATTCTTGACATCCTTTGCCTCAGCTTTAGAAGCAAAAGAATCATCTTCTGGTCTGGCTTCAGTTTTATTGACTGCATCTATAATGTCAATTTCAGCATCTGGCATGTAGATAATATCAACGTACTAAGACCAGAGACTTACTAGATTGAACAGGTCTTCTAATCTCTTTTGCATAGTCTTTAATCTCTTAGATGGCTCCTAGAGTGATCTTTTATAATTTCTAAGGAGCTTTGCGTATTCTTATTCTAACTTCTCAAGTCCCTCCTTTCCTTTTTCAGAGCTCTCAGGGAAATTTTCAGTGATAAGTTATCTGGCATCCATATATTCCTTGAGTAGTTTAAATTCTTCATTGTTTGACATATGTCTTATCATTGACTTGAGATCTCTGTAGATTGGTTAAAGTAATACATTTTTCTTTTCCATTGATTCCTCTTTGTCAAGTAGTTTCTGCATGTTCTCATGGTCACCCTGCTCGTTGTAGAAAGCGAGGGTTTATATTTTCCTCTAATACTCTTCATAGTTCATTATTGTTTGAGGGAGCACCACATGCTCATTGATTCTTTCATTCATTTCAGCTAATGATGGCCATCTCTTTGAATCGATTTCCATAACATCAAGCATGATCTTGGTCTGCATAGCTCTCCTTGTGTTAAGCACATCTTGCCTTGTCATGTTCACTAACAATTTATCTTCTTTTTTCTCTAATGCTTTCTATACACAAATTAGCAATTAAAGTAAGTACAATTTCATTTTTAGTAGACATGCTGATTGTGCATATTCTAGTTCTCCATCTATCAAGATCTCTTCTTTGCTTTTAGAGACCTTCTTCCCTGAACTTATCTAGAAAAGTATTTTCAACCTGAGTTTAATGCTCCCAGTACTCCTTTTTGTGCTTTTTCCTGAGAACACCGAACTCTTAATTATATTCAGCCAAGTCTTTCTTAAACTCAAAATCAAACACCTTTACGGATGATCTTTTGTAGCCAAAGGTCTAGCATTAGATTAAGTTACTGAGTGAAAAAGAAGTTTTTGTAAGATTTTGTGCCATAATTCTATGGTTTATAGCAACTGATCTATTTGAGTTGCTTAATAGCAATTATCTAGACAAATATTGTTTCATTTTAATGGTTTATGTAATATTATAATGATAATTTAATTTATAAGAATGAGTATAGTTTTAATGAAACAAGAGGAAGTTGAGTGTTAAGTTTTTTGAATGGGAAACAACAATAATAAATGAATCTTCTTTCAGAAGCTGATGCTAGCTTTCCTCAAATCTTGTTGAAGGTAAGGATATCAACTGATTGAACTTCCTCCTCGAATTCTCCAATTTTCTCTTGGAGGTCATCAACGGAGACCTTGTCATCTTCAACGACACAACCAACGATGAGTTTGTAGACTCCGTAGGCAATTGGTTCCTTCTTGCAATCTTGTTTCCAGACTAGACCGTCTAATTCAATTGCGAGGATCTTCTTGAAGAGCTCATCAAGATCAGTCTCAGCTTCGTATGGCTTAACTTCGAAGAGAATGAATGACTTGGCAATAACTGTTGGCTTCTTCTTTTAAGCTTCCTCAACCTTTTTCTTTGATTCTTCAAGAAGCTTCTTAGTCTCCTATTAATAATTAATTAAGCTTCCCTATTAAATAGATATATTGGCTTACCTCACTTGGCTCTTCATCAGCGAATAGATCTAACTCATCATCATCATTAGCAGCGGCGGGCTTTACTTCCTCCTTCTTTGGTTCCTCCTTCTTGACTGGAGCAGCTTGCTTCTTCTCAGCTCCCTTTGGTGCAGCACCGGCAGCCCATGAAGCTCTCACTGATTCGTTGAATCTGTGAACGAGAGCGAACCAGGCAAAAGTATGAGGGTGTGACTCAACTGAAGGTGGGGTGTTCTTCAACAAATCGTAAGCTTCTTTGTCAGCAGAGGTTGGTAGTTGTCTAATAGAGTGGTTTTATGATTAAAAAATTGGCTTACCCACCGAGGAATTGTTGTTCGGTAAGGGTTTTTTCGTATTAGTCAAAGTTTGCGGCTTCCATTAACTCTTTTATTGAAAATCTTTTCAGATAGTAAACTAAGTTAAACTTACCCTTAAATAATTTAATCAACGATTGCTTTTTCATCAATCGATTTTGAATGGAGGGGTTTTGGGGTTTTGGGGTTTTGGGGTTTTGGGG